CCTAATAAGTAGCTGTTTAGAGACTGGAACTCAGCAATTCTTGGAAGAGCTATTATCATTCAACACAAACACCCAAGAATTGAAACATGGTATGCTGCTTACTTGCTTTTTTTTTTGCTGGTGTTCTTTATGAAATCACCTTTTTTGCAAATAGGTTGTCCCCTGTCAGAGCATGCTGGTGTCTTTGCCTGTCGTAGAAATGGCACATTTCTCACTTTTGGCACATGTTGTCAGTGTTGTACCCCTCCAATTTGTGTTCAGAACCCCCATCCCTCCCTCCTCCCACTCCTGGTTTGACTAAAATCCAATTTACTGGCTGTCAGCTCAACTCTATAATCCTATCCACTGCTGTAGTGGAGAGGTAGCTCTTTGAATTTTACCATTTACTGTATTCACTGGTTATAGCTATATATACCATCTCTCCCTATGTCTGTATCCTATGCTTCCCCACCTCGTCTTCTTTTGGCCAGTGTATATGGAGAGTAGGCGAGCGTGTTGTGTGTCTTTGGAGATAAAGTCCTTTTTCTGTCACTGCAGGATTTTCGTCTTGGGGTAATATGTGTAGTTTATCTTGCAGCAAAGAAACATTAATCGTATCCCTTCAGCACATTCCCGGTGGCTGCAGTGAAAATCAAGACTACATAGCATGCATGTGCACCCAGCACCCATGAGTCTCACATATACAAAATCAATGCTCCAGCTAAGAGAAAATAATATATTTTTTTTATTGTGCATATTACATAACAAGCAAAACAGTGTTTTATTTCATTAAATATGCATGGTAAGATAGATTAACTGACTTTACTGATAATCCGTTGCTGCCTCATTACTTCACAAAAAGTTGTGGGAGTTTATCTCTGAGGCTTCCTTCTCTCAAAGTTTTTCTGAAGCAACTTCTGTATTTTGGTGAATTCATTACTTATGGGTAGATCCACTGTCTCTATGATTAACAATCCCAATACAAGGAGAACTTTACCTGCACTAATAGATGTCAGGGTTTCTAATCTACATACCCACACTTTCTGGTTTAGATTTAATGGTAACCGATTCTCCCTATTACGCTGATGTATCCCCTGTGCACTTGTTTCTCTCGCTTCAAACTCAATTTCCAAGCACCATCCTGCTCTTTGTTATATTATATGCATGTTTCAGAGCGAAAGGGAGAGAGAAAAGGGGGGAGTGAACTTGCTGCCCAACGTGTGCAAGTGTGTATGCTCTTGTGTGCATCTCTATGAGCCGACACGGGTCTCTGCCACAGTAAATAAAAGTCATGGCCAACCAGAGCTGCGCACAATGGTCTCCCTGCAGACCGCTGTGGCCTCCATAGCCCCTAAAACATTTGCATTTCTCCACATTTCCTAGGAAAGGGCTGCATTTCATGAATGGTAATGAAGGTGGGAGTTTTAGTGGAGAGTGCACAAGAGATGGCCTGGCAATTACTCCGGGATGGTCAATTTGCACATTTCACGAGGGGTCCCATGACTCTGATATGAAAATGAGGGAAATGGATAGGCCCCCAAAACTTGCAAACATAAAAAAATAAATACATATTGCATGTATTTATTGATATTGCATGTATTAAATCTCACAAAGTTGAGTACAACCTCAACGTTTTTATAAAACTTTTATTATATATATACATATATTTCATTGGATACTACAAAAGATATGACACTTTGAAACAATGTAGTCAGTTTACAGCTTGTGCAACAGTATAAATTTGCTATCCCATTAAAATAATTCAACACATACCCAATAACGTCTGAACTGCTTGAAAAGAAGGTGAGTATAGCCCAAAGTTAAAATGTAAAAATTCTGGTCATTTAGCGATTTTCCAGTGGCACATTGAAGTTAACTTCTTACTTCATGGCAAAGAAATATGTGAGGATCTCAAAAAAAACTGGTTGTTTTTTCGCATAAAGATGGCTTAGGATGAAAGAAACTGAGATGCAGCTTGATGGCCAAACATACAGTGGTTAATAGGAAAGTTTCCACTTAAAATAGGATTTACAATGCTCAACTGAACTGTGATCTACCGTTCACCAAGGGAATTATGAATCCCAACATGTACTGTAAAAGACTGAAGCACTGCGTGATACCCTCCCTTCTGGAACTGGGCAGTATACTGCCTTGCTTAAGAAACAGTGTAAGGATTCTGGACTGGCAAAGCAATCTTAACGTCTGTGGGGCATCCTCAGGTGGAAGAGGGAGGTTTGCATGATCTCATCATCCACCAGCTTTATGATGCCATCATGGAGGGAAATCAGATATAGACAAAATGTACACTGTTTCGTACTACATTAAAGTACTGTTTTCGTACTACATTAAAGTATTAAATTATGTCTTCAGTGTTTTACCCTGACAAGAAAACAACGCAATAAATGCTAACATTTGAGGGGCATATTCACTTTTGTGAAACAGTATATGTCAACATACGGCACATATATTAAAAAAATTGTTTTATAAAGAACTTAATTTATATCACTACTGCTGAATAGGTACATTTTTCTTTTATGGTTTTTATCTTAGTGCAGGATGAAAAGCAATCCTTAGATTATAGTTGATTCCCCAAATTATTTTGATCTTCTTTAAGTTGTTAGTCTACAGATATGTTCATATGCACAAACATTATAAAAATGTGTATGTGCCGACAAGTCTATCCATAATAGAACTGCAGCACCATTAATACGAGGAGATGAGTAGCTAGTTGGGTTGTTATAAATTTGGTAGTTTACTTGGAAATATGTACCTGGTAGGAGGTTGTACTACATCAATGTAATAGTACTACTACTTCAATTACTTCAGCAAAATGATTTATATAATTACATGTAGTTTTCTTTTTATAATACATTTGTAAAATACTAAAGATGTTTTACTTTTGTTACTGGGGCTATAAAATATGTTCAAATGTTAAAACTTAGCAGTGACTTACAGAAATACTAAAACTGATTGAAAAAAAGATGGCAAAAGAAGTAGCAGACAGTTGGCGGTGATGTAAATTGAAGTTGTTACTGTCTCTAATGAACCTGTCCCTTTAAGCTGTGCAGCTTTGTTCAGCACATTTAAATGTTTTTTTTATGAGCTGTGTCTGTATGTGTTTTAATGTGAAAAGGTAAAAAATAATTAACTACAAAAAAAAAAAGAAAAATCTTTTGAAATGACAACAAGCTTACAGTATCTGGCTAAGATAAACAGTTAAGTCATTGCTTGACGGAACGTTTCTGTGCGAAATACAGAAAGTAAATGTTGATTAACACTCAGCTTTACTGGAATTTACATGATTTCATTGCAAAGAAATTCATGAATAAAATCTAATTTAATTGTTTCCTCAGTAACAATATTAGGGTAACTTTTGTTATCAAATTGCAGATTTTCTGACTTATGAAAGACAACATAAATTATCCTTGCTTTATTTAAATATACACTTGTCTTTCCCATTTGGGGCTAAAAACAAAGGTCAATTTTTATCATTATCAAGAATTTTTATACTTCATGTGATACATAAGATCATGTTCCTAGCAATTTGGTAACTTATTAAAAAATATAATTTTAAATCATTCATCTTTTACTATTATTTTGAAGTAATAATTCATATGTGGCACAGTTTTTTTTATTAATTAAAATCTACTTTTCATTAAAACAATGCTAAAGAAAACTGTCTTGTCTCGGTCTTCTCTAAATGTTTTTGTGTCAAACACTAGAAGAATAAATAATTTGCCTAAATAGAATGCCTTTATTGCTATCTCATTGTCCGAGTATATAGTACAACAAAATGTGTCTGAACCACTCCATAATTTAATGATAGCAAACAAAACAGCAGAACAGTATAAGGCAGGTTAGTATTAATTAATAAATAAAGACTGTAAAGAAGACCGTGTGACAATGGGTTAAAAATATATAAAACAATGAGAAATACTCATAAGTAGTCCATAGCTTGGGTCTTCTCCACAATCTCTAAATTTCATAGTCGTAACTTCAGCAGCTTTTGTTGTTTTATTCTTAATTGAACCGGTGAAACAAACACGTTACTTGTCATTTCTTAGATTAATGTCTTGCAGTTCTATGAATTCTTCAAAGGGAGATAAAGCCATTGCAAAAGGGGGCTAAGCTATTTTATGGCTTTTCACACATCCTTAGATTTCATGAGGAATAAGGTTTCAGGTTCTGTATTTAAAATCATAATCAGGATTAAAGTAGCAAACTGTGTCCTTGGCAAGATTGACTTTGTGCAAAAAAAAAAATACAAATAAAAAAGGAATGCAGTCTGCAAGCTTTATCTGTAAACATGATGAACTCTGTTTTATAGCATCCCCTCTCTACTGAATGTGTCTTCATATCCATGGATGCAGGTAGATAGTATTGAAAATTTGATAATTGAAAGAAAACTTGCAAAAAATATTAAAGTGGAAACAGTCTCTAAAAATGTCTTATTTATTTACTGTCTCTGTTTGAAATGTGATAAAAACAGATAGTAGAGCATTAAATAAATCAAATAAACAACTGGGTGGTAATGTTCTATCTTTAAATATCTATAGAGTAACAAGAAGAGGGGCAAAAGAAGACTTTTAAGTTGTAATATTACTCGTAATATTCTTGTAATGTTAGGACTTGATTCTCAAAATAAAAAAATAAATAAAAAAAATATCATGCCTTGCCCTAATACTCTTCATAATGAACACTGCTGGAGCACAAGCGTGTGTGAACAACAAATTTAAATCATTGAAGAAGGGGGATATAAGCAGGAAATGAAAAAGTCTTTAATTATAACTGCAAAAAAAAGGTTACATCACAGATTTCGCCTATCATGGGTTCTTTTTGGAACGTAACCCCCGTGAAAAACGAGGGTTCACTGTATACAAAATAAAAGATTCCAAGAGCACTGTTTGTCATCTACCTTTGGAGTTTTTCAAGCTTATTTTTTTACATTTTAAACCACAACTTTCAATGAAATACACAGATTTTTCTTCACAGAATTAAAATTTCGGTCTTTTCGAACTCACCGCATGTGCGTAGGAGCTGTAGGTGCTGAAAGGAAGGGCGATGGCTGGATTAAAGATGCCAAACTGCCCTACCATCTGCTGCATACGTCTGATGGTGCGCTCCTTGTCTGTGTCCGCAAACTTGACCACCAAGCTGGAGGAAGCACCCTGATTGAAAGGAAAAATCAAAAGGAGGAAAAAAAGAAAAAAAACATAAGGGCCTTTGTTGAAATACCTCTAATAATACTTGAACCAATAAAGAAACACAGTCTGCATTACATTTATTTAAGTATTGTATTCCCAGTTTTATATAAATGGAAATTGTATGAACAGTCTCGAAATACCAATTGGACAGTATCTAGATGGTCTTCGTTTATTATCAGATATCTGTTAGACATACATTTTATTAGCGTAAACAACCAATTTTAACATCCATATGCTTTTCTTCCTTTTTGCTGTTGGTGAACGCAGCCTTCTAGTTGCAAAATCACTGCTCATTTTATAGGATTTTTTAAATCTGAGATACAATACTATCAAGCTATGAGATATAAAGGGAGAATATTATACGTATTGAATGAGCAACTCTGTAGGCAGATGAGAAGCTTTGAGGCCTTTCTTCTTTCCATTATAAAGTGACTTGAAGCAAAGCAGCTGTGCTCTGTTTAAGCCAAAGTTTCATATTAACTCTACTTTCTACAACTCAGACATAAAATATCCATGTAACTGCAGCTAGAGGATACATTTATGTTTTGCAATTTAATGATGAAGTTGAAGTGCTGTTTCCAACAGAGATGGGGGATCTGGAGTCAACAAGTCATCTCTTTGTCATGTATTTGTTCTACTCAGCCACTGAACCAGGTAAGTCACTCACCTGGTCAGAACAAATACATGACATAGAGATGACTTGATGACTTCAGATCCCCCATCTCTGGTTTCCAATGATGAAACATTGACTATTTCAGATCAATTATCTTTAAATGTTATTTTTAATGAGGAAATTTACAATTTATTGTAAAATTATTGTAAATTACCTCTGAAGTTAAAACTATACATACATAAAAGTTGGATACTAAAATACAGAATTTAAGTATTTCATATTTGTTTGTCTTTGCCTGGATTAATGGATACGCGTGATAAGGCCTTTTTTCTGCTTAGAAAGGACATAAAATGAAAGACATTATTTGAAACTGTCAAAGCAGAGGCATTGATAAAAGAAGTCCTAAATATATATATATACAGATATATATAGATGTTTGTGCAAGCCGTATTAAATACTGACCAAATGAAAACAGCATTTCTTACACATTCTTAAATGTAGATATAATCAAAATATTAGGATAAAATGTAAGACACTTATAATTCCCCATAAAGAGAGAGAAAAAAATATTATAAGACAGGGTATGTTGTTGTGACACACTGTCATACTTTACTTGACACTTTGTGTCAATGAAGTGGATGCTAATTGTAATATAGCTCCGATTTGTGGGCTATCTGTTGGGATCTGGAGATTCTCCACCTTCTCCAGCAGAGTGCGCTGTGGATCTCCTGGGCTGGAGCCCTCCAGCACAGCTGACGCTCATCAGCCCATCAGGAGACCTGCCTATATAAGCAGCTGCCAGACCTTCCTTCAACGCCGCAGTGTTGACCAAATTTGGTTAGTGAACCTTAGCCTCTGTTATCTACTAGAACCTTTGCCTTAGAGAAACCCAACTCTAACCTGCCTCTGTCTTCTTGCTCCTAGGAAACCTGTCTCTCGTGTGAAGCTCTGGATGAGCTTAGCCTGTTACCCGCCTGCCTGCCCTAGAGAGCCAAACCTGAAGATCTCACTCTGGAATCCACCTGCTGCTCTCAGGGAAGGAGCTCATCATTCAACCCAAGGTCTGACACAAACAGTCAGAAGCAAGACGCTGCAGCTGCTGAGCACTCTGCTGAACCACAGTCTCTGGACCCAACCGGTTCCCTCTCTCAGAGAAGAAAACCTGAATCTTGTCAAGGTATTTTCAGAAATATCAGCAAACTCAACTACTAATCAGTAAACCTGGCTAATCAAACTATCCGTCGCTGCAGACGCCTGAGAATCCTGCCCGGACCTGTTTCCAGAATCCAGTTCATATTTTCTTGTTCAAATCTTTAATAAACTCTGAACTTTTTACCCAGTCTCCAGTGGTGTTCTGCATGTGGGTTTATTTCCTAAACCAACCATGACACTATCCACCATCACCGGTGGGTGTAACACTTTGTGCTCCTACGCGGATGTGCTTCTGAGCACCCAACTGCGCTCAGTTTACAATTATTTAAACCAAACTGTTACCCTACCAAGAAGCTATCAATGCTCAAGTATGGCATAAAATAGAAACTGTTAGAACACCTTGTTGTAATCCATCCCTACTAGCTCAGAAATAATTTGATATTCAAGCCCATATTAACTTTGTGCAAAAATGTAACTGGCACTGTATAATTAGAACTGAAATTAGACAATTTTTATAAACCGGGATTTGCAATAGGTAATTTTATGGTTGGCTTTTCCTATTGACATATATAATTCCAATGTTCTAATTTAATCTTTCGTTTTAGAAGAACCCCACAATGTAATGTTTTTATGCATACTTTTCTTTTTTTTACCGTCAGTGAATCTAGATCTAGATATGCATTCATTAGCAATCTTCATCCTTCATTGATAACTTTTAAATGATTGAAAGCTGATTGACCTTTTGTACGCTCCGCCTTCTTCCTGCCCTCTGAGCCCCAAACTGCCCAATTGATCCAAATAAAAGGCCATAATATTACTCTTTTCTGACAGTTTAGAAAGGTTGCGTGTCAAGCATGATAAGAAGCCAAATGAAATTGATTCAAGACCATCAATAACAGCGGGTTGCTACTGATAGGATGGAACTAAACAGTGGGATGGTATAGAGTATGAAGGACTGCAAAAATGTCTGTCGAAATGGTGCCCATAATATACCCAGGTATGATTATTACAACATTCATTACATTTTTAATTTTCCTTTTTGTGCTTTGTCTTTCTCACTGAGGTCTCCAGCTAATAAAGACATCCAGAGACAGGGAAAGATACCCAAAGACAGGCACTGGACCTTTTGACTGTAGCTTATAGATTTTATGCTATTCTTTTCCTTTTCTCCTCACTTTGCTCAATATTCTCTCCCTCCCTCTCATTGCCCTCCTCTGGGCTTGCTCTGCTGAAACCCAGGCTTAAAAGACTGCAGGTGTATGGTCAGTTAGTTAGATGTCTCTCTGACTAAATCACCAGTTTTCCAGTTAGCTGAATGATTTACTCAATGGAACGTCATACCATCTCCTAGGCATAGGTAGTTATAGATATTACATAACCTATAACTCTCTTTTTTATCTTCATTTACAATTAATTCATGTAAGTTGGAATTTGAGGATGAAGGTACCGGTAACTGTAAAATATAAAAGCTGCCAATGAAGACATTTATTGTTTAAAAAAAAAAAAAAAAAGAAAACGTCAAAAAGCAATGTGAATGTTTCTTCATAAACAGTCAAAACATTGTTATGGTTGTATTTGATGAATATTTGTGATAAAGCAGAAGATTATTGACAAAGAAAATGGAGGTAAGAATTGGTCTTATTTGTTTATCTTCTTAAATGAAACACATTCCAAGAACAGAAAATGTAAATTATTACTAGATAATGTACAATAAGTATCTAATAGAAAAGAAATACGATGCTAATATCCATCAAATGGCCATTATAAACCAACAAACAGTTTACATCATTTTAGAGTCACATAACACTGTTATACTGACTATTACACTTATAACACTTATTATGCTGACTATAACACTTATTATGCTGACTATAGCACAAGTTATGGATTCCATATATATATATATATATATATATATATATATATATATATATATATATATACATATATATAAACATAAATAGGCAGCATCACCTAATAAATTTGGACACCTACAGATCCCAAAGGATCTATTGTCTCTGTTAGGACTGGTTGATATAACTTAAAAAAGAACAGATTTTTTCCTACCAAATATATCATTTTTTTCTCTCACTTAATATTATAATTGAAAGGACAAATTACATACTATATATTGCCAGCAAAGCAATCATTTTTTAGAATCAATAAAATAAAAATAAAACAAAGTAAATGTTTGCAGCTAGTCGTATCACACAGAGTTAGTTTCTCAGTTATAAGTACAAGTTCAAGATGGTAGAAGTTTGTTTTGGACATTGTCTTGGAACAAGTCTGGAACAAGCTAATCAATACTAATAAATACACCAAGAAATTTTACTACTATGCAAGCTTTTACCAGCTTATAAAATTTTGGCACAATCACACCAAATAAATCCTGAACTAAGATTTTCATTTAATGCAGCGTCAACATCATTACCCTAATTATCAGGGTTAACTATAAGACAAGCACGTGACTAGAGTAAAGATGTAATCTACAACTAAATGTTGAATATTTTATTTCTCTCTTACAGATGAAATAAGTATCTCCTTGGTGATGTGAGCTGCTCCTGATGCTGACTGTGTTCCGTTCTAAGAGAAGACTGAGGTACATAATCTAAACAGATTAAGTTAGAATTTTTACAGTCAGCTTGTTCTGTAAACACACCAAGACAACAATGTGCCTCCCTGAATGATAAAAATAAGGTCTCTAGTCGGCTCACACACTGCTTAGAAAAGAGCAATATGTCACTTCCTTTCATTGCGAATGTTGCATTTCCTGCAAATCTTTTTCATTAGGAGCCGAGGATATGAAAGCGGCGCCTCCCACTGACTCTCCTCAGGACACCTGAATCTCAGGGATTGTTGGGCAAGCACCCATTGCCACATTTGTTTATCTCCAAGGTTTTCCCATTTAAGCCTGTCAGAGTATCAGCATGCAGAATCTCCATTTCTATAAAGAGAGGAGGATGAAGTGTGAAGTGAAAGTCTCATTAAATTTTTAAGCTTACAAGTGTGAGCAGAATCCCCCTGCTGGCCGGCTCCCAGCTGCCTTAAGAGCCACTGGAGGAAGGGAAGTTAAACAGGGGGAATAAAAAGGAACTATAGAGTTTTTCAGAAACAAAAAGAAAGATTGCCACTCAGGCAATCCTCTAATTGCCAACAGCAGATTTTTTTGTGCCTTTTCAAGCTTCACAATTTTCAAACT